GACAAACACATTGCCCTAAGAATAGGAGCCATGACCACCACCACGAGATTCTTTCATGGAAAAGACCTGTCCTTGAATCATCACCGAGGATGGAACCTGTCACAGAAGCTGCTCCATGAGAAGAGAAGCTCTTGCCAGTGACCAACTCAGTGGTCATGCTTCTTCTTCTCCTCCATTTCAGATTGGCAGATGCTGCAAAAGGGTCCACAATACCATTGCCACAGATGCTGTGGCAGAAACCAATCTGCATGTAACATCTCTTACTGTTTTGATTGATCTACATGGATACATCTGTCACAATAGTATTGGCATATCTGATTCATTAGCCTTGTTGAATCAAATCTCCTCAAGAAATAGTATACCTTAGCCTAATACATAATGAGAGCTAATCCAATGGTGACTCTACGATATGAGCTCGATCTTATTGATTATGGTCTGATGACGAAATATCCAAATTTAATAGTAATACACTCATTAAATCCTTACAAGTTAATATAAATTCTTATTCATTTTTATGAAGGACTAAATCAAAGTATTATAAGTCGCTCGAAGAATAATGTTTAATGGCATTTGGGTTGTATCCGAAAACGCAACATCAACACCATTACTACTCAGACCCCACTTGAAAGTGATGTTCTTGGACTTATGATCAGATTAAGGGAGGTTTTGATCTATGATTTAATCACAAACTTGAATTTTGCGATCCTAATCGGTTGGACTAACAATGAAGTCTATAAATTATGCTTGTGATGGTGAGTTGTATGGAAAAATAAAACTTGATACATTTGAATCAATACAGGTTGGGATTTTTACTAATGGTTCTACTAAAACTGTGAAAGAAGGCATGAATCTTAACATTAACTCTCAATCATCACTGTCTTCTCAGGAAAAATAATTAAGAAGGAAGAAGAAACCTAACTATGCACCCATTTTGATAAGGACAACCGAAGAGAATTGTCATTTTTAGATATAACATCGATGGAAAGCAGTCACCACCTTCAGCTTTCCTCCACAGAAAACATTACTATGGAACATGAAATAGTTGTCACATATTTATGATAGTGGTGATGGTGCACCCAATTGTGTTCTCATGGGAAAGATGCTTCAATGATGTGGCTTTACAAAAGGTGGGAAATGGTCCAAGTTACATGCATTGTTCCTTCCTTGAAGGTTGACTCATATGCATTTGATTGTTCTAATTAGTACATATAATGTCACACATAATTTCTCATTTAGTTGGCTAAAACAAATAATGAATTGTTTTCAAAGCAAGAAAATATGAATAAATGAAGGAATCAACCAACGTATCCTTAATAAGATACAACAATGCTATGTTACTTTTGTTCCAAGAAATTAATCCACACTATATGGATTTAGGTGCAAGTATTTACAAACATTAATACTATATGAACAATGATATTTCCTCTCTTTAAAATAAACCTCCAAAGCTATCACTTAGTTTATGTTTTTGAATGAATGATATGTCATGGGTGCCCCGCAAGCCAATTACGTGAGTGATGACATGCGTAATATAATATGCACTCTTTTTTATTTATTATTATTTTTTTCTTACTTTATATTGTTTATTATATGTATTGTGATGTCTATGAATTTGTGCAAAGAGAATCAGATCATGATATCATGATAATGAGACCGATTCACATTTAAACATAAATCTTAGATAATCTCAGACATAGGTCACTCGAGAGAGAAATCAAGATGACCGGATAGACTGGTGTGTTGTATACCTATCTATATGATGGAGACTGGTCTCATAGCTACTCATGTGAGGACACTAGGGATACCGTACAGGTTCTCATTGGAGAATGAGTTCATTGATTGATCCGCTCACGAAATATTGGATAATTGATGATACATCATTGTCAAACAACGATTTCGTCATCCTAGTAGTGTATCTAGTTTTTAAACTTAAAGACACAAAGGATGTTCTGTATGAATACTCTACTCTTTGATATCAGACTTATAGACCTAGAAGTTCCAGATCTAGCACAGCCAGTTATCGGAAGTAGCAGCCAAATTTACGAGGGCTATTAAGTGTTCATAGAGGATAATCCTCTCTCGATGTCATGAGGGAATATCTCATGTGTTCTTGCTTAGGCAAAACCCTATATCATCCAATAGATTGGATTCTCTTGTATCATTTAGGGATTATGGCGTAGTTACCTAGTACATCCGTAATCAATGAGTCGAGTAAATTATTATGAAGATAATAATTTACTAAGTCAAAAGGAGTTCTGACATGTATGACTTATGGCTAGCTCGATATTGGGCCTAGAGGGCCACACACATATGATAGGTATTGCAATGAGTAGAGGTTCAAATATGAGATATCCGTTGGAGCCCCTATCTTATTGGATATCCAATAAGCCTATAAAATATTGGATTAGATCCAATAAAAACCAATGAGAGATTATTAGATAGAGATTCACTAATATTAGAAACTTAAGTAGTTGGATAGAAATCCAAGACCCAATATGGTAGGATATATTAGGATTAAGTTGACAATGTGTGTGTATAAATAGGAGGGAACCAAAAGGTCATAAGTTAAACCTCTTTTGGTTGCCTTATATTCTTCTCTCTCTCTCTCTCTCTCTCTCTCTCTCTCTCCTTCTCAACCAACAAACTCCTGCTTAGGGCATGTGGATAACAAGAATAACTGACCCCTTCTTAATTGTGTGGTATGTACAACGAAGAGATTTGAGCAACGATTTGAGGAGCATCTTCACAGTCCTTACTATGTGGATCACCACTAAAGAGGATGATAATTGACCTCCTTCATTCTCTTATATAGATCTGTAAGTTTTTAGAAATATACGATATCCCAATGTAACACATCTTTCTTATACACGCGATTTTTGATTTGACGGGATTTTATGCATCAATCTTCGCACAATGATGAGAGACTATTTTTCTGTGAAAATCTGAGAATTTTGTTTCTGATCTTCTGCTTCACATGTGATGTTGCCCTATATTTTTTAACAATGTCTCTTTCGTATCATGATATCCTATAATAAACATTAATCTTTTTTATTTAAAATTTATAATATATTAGATAAAAGTTCCCACAAAGTAAGCAATGGATCCATTAGAAACTCATTCTTAACAACAAGCTGGGTAAAACATAAAGTGATGCCTACGAAAGTGAAGCACCCACATAGACCCTAAAGAGAATCCACAAAAAGTGATGACAAAGGTTAAATCCCTCAACAAAGTTTAGTTAGTCTAACTTTTATAAATCCAATCTATCTTTTATAAATCCTTGCTCTTGACAACACTAATGAAAATTTGGGAGGAAATCTTTTACCATTGGGTGATGGCCTTCATGTTGTTTTGAGATTAAAAAAATTTGTAATGCAACAAATCAAAGTGAAATCTAATTTGTAATGCTAATGCATGTGATAGTTGAAAAGAGATTCATTAATTTTATGTTTTGTTACATTAGTTTTGGGTCTTTCTTTCACCATAGTAATAGTGTCAATATCATTAAATCCAAAAGCTTATGATCTAATTTATTTTTATAGACACTCGATGAGTCGATCAAGCACTTAAAATATTAATTATGATATATCTTAGCCAAGCTTATATAAGATAAAATCTTAAATTTATTTATTAAATATAATCTAATTTAATATTTTTAACATGTTTGATTACAAACTAAATTATATTGAGAGACAACATTTTACATTTAAGATACTCTTTTGACCTAAATTTATCTTAAAATTTCTTTAAGAAACAAAAAATTTATGCATCATGAAGACATTAATTCAGCTCAAAAGCTTACGTTTTGTTTTTGAGAACTCTTTCGAATCTTATCGATATAATACTATTTTCTTATTCCTATCTCAAGATCTCTCCCATCAATATTCTCTTAACATTGTGTTGTTAAATTATATTCAAAGAAAAATTATTGAAGAAGCCAATTATAAACCCTTCATCATAAGAAATGCAGCTGAACATGAGTCATTCTTATGTCATCCAAACTACACATGTGGAAGATTCTTGGAGACAATGGTTAATGCTCTTTATTTCCTCCCCTTTTTCTTGATCCTCCCACTGTGTGTTGTTGTACCTGTATCAGCTGGTCAATGGGTTCAAGTTACCATTGGAGGAAGAAGAAGAAGAAGAAGAAAGCCCAATCAAAACTACTCTTCCAAGACAGACAAAGAAGACAGAGGAGTAGAAACTCATGCATCCACAAGAGAAAAGCCAAGAAGTTGCCTGCCCAAACCAGCTTCCCAAAGTGGCACATCATTGTTAGGCTGTGCTTTTGAAGCATGGCTTCTCATGCTAGTGCTTCTACCTTTTAGACTTCAAAAGGTTGAGGTAAGCTATAAATGATTGACCCCCCCCACCCAAAAAAAAAATAGGGTTGATATGTTTTTCTAGATTTTAGGATCAAATCAAGTATGTAAAAAATTTTATACAAAGAAAAAAATCTTTTAAAAAATTTATTATTTAGGCATATCTCGGTGGATTCGTAAAGGATACAGAAATTCGTAAAGGTTTACAACAGAGACTTCGAGTTAACTTACGAGAACTTTTAATTTGTTAGTATCAAATAACATAGATATAGACAGAGTATCAAATAACATAAATTTAACTTCATAAATGAAATGATTGAAGATTAAAAATTAAGATTATTCAGTAAGATATAAATAATACTGAGATCACACATTGAATTTTTAATAGTAGCCTCATGATAAAAAATATATATGATTATTCATGAAGAAATAGAAGAAAAAAAATGCAGAGGTGCATAATGAACATCATGAGCTATCTCATAATAAGATCATGTTCATTATTATTTGAATTATGTGTTGTAAATCATATACATGAAGCACGTGGATGGCTGAGATTAGAGTGGCATTTCATCGAGCACTTACGTGGAAACCCAGCTGACCCCATACAAGACAATGGCATCAGCAAGTGCAGCTCGCTCTATAAATACCACCCTACAACAACATAGAATGGCCACCACACCTTGAGGAGCTCTTAGAGCTTGGCAATGGCTTCCCACGGCACAAGGCCTACTACTACTGCCTGCAACGAAATCCATGATGCGGTCACAACTCACACCTCCATCTCTCCCTCTCTTCTCCACCGGAAGAGCCTCGAAGAACTCTTCCCACCCTTCCTTGCCGAGAAGGTCATTGTCGCTTCTTGACCCACCCACGCTTGATCTCTGCCTCTTGTTCATGGCTGCTACCTTCTGGTGTTGCAGGTCGTCGCGGAGACGATCGCCACCTTCCTGCTCGTGTTCGTCACCTGCGGGTCCGCGGCGTTGAGCAAGAGCGAGGCTGGCGCGGTGTCGCAGCTGGGGGCGTCGGTCGCCGGTGGGTTGATCGTCACGGTGATGATCTATGCCGTGGGCCACATCTCGGGGGCGCACATGAACCCCGCCGTCACCTTGGCCTTCGCCGTCTCCCGGCATTTCCCATGGATACAGGTGCGTCCGTTCCTTCATCTCCTCTCACCCTCTTCCCCCAACTCCAGTAGCACTGTCAATTCCTCCACCTCATGCTTAGCTTTTATTGCTCTCTATACCTAAATTTCTTATAGAACTTGATGTTTACCATGCAGTAAGCCTTCATCTTTCACCATTAATATATATATATATATATATATATATATATATAAAATCCAATTCTAATAATGCATGATCTCTCCATATGAGTGGTTCATAGATAAGAAGATACTTTGAAGACCTCCCTTCATCACAGAAGAAAACATAAAAGCAAGTAATACTGCTAAAATATTATCTTACAAACTCTTTTTCTTAATATTTTATGTTCCAATATATATATAGATAAAAAGAATTGCTCTCTTTTTTTTTATGAACAGGTCAAAAGCTTGTGGCTAAAATTTATGAGAAGATTGCACTCAGATTTGTGATTTGACCAGTGGGATGACACAGGCCATGATTAATGATCCATGACAAGTTCAAGTGTGGATCAAATCATTCCACAAAATCTGTAAAGAAATATGCCAAGTAGTCCTAATCACGAAAGACTCTCTCTCTCTCTCTCTCTCTCTCTCTCTCTCTCTCTCATGCAAGTTCTTTAGGGGATGGGACCAAAAGCCAAAACAAGGATGTGCTCCAGAGATTCCTACCACTGAGCTTGCATTGATGCCTCACTTAGATGCAGAGCTTCAAATCATTATATGCCAAAAATAATTCCTTTAGTGATTCTTAGGGTCGTTCCATAATGGTAAGAATCATAAGAATTAAATGACATATATTGAACTTAATTCATATCATAATAACTTATGGAAATGTCGAAGATGTTAAAAATATAGAATAGTCTCATATTGCTAATGACCGAAAGAGTTGGATAATATATATTGGGTTTGATCGGACTTTATAATTTAAGCTTTTTATTTCCATAAGTGTAATTTATTATGTTAACACAAGAAGATGATCAGAAGCTAAACATACCGCTCATGAAATCTTAGTTGTTTGATGAGTTTAGGGTTTATGCATCAGCCTGTTCACTTATCTCCCTACAATACATCCTTGCAGGTTCCATTCTACATCTCTGCTCAGATCTCGGGGGCCATGGTCTCCTCCTTCGTCCTCCGCGAGCTGCTGCACCCCATCACCGATCTCGGTACCACGACGCCGTCGGACACAGCTCTGAAGGCCTTGGTCATGGAGATCGTGGTCACCTTCTGCATGATGTTCGTCACCTCGGCTGTAGCCACTGATTCCAAAGCTGTGAGTCCGCACCAACTCTTCTCACCGTGCCCACAGTTCATGCATGCTCCTCCTTGTTCTCATGCTTCCCAACACATCTTCGTCCTGTTGCAGGTAGGAGAGTTGGCAGGGTTAGCTGTTGGCTCGGCAGTCTGCATAACCTCCATTCTAGCTGGGTAAAATAATACATCTCATCATTCTTAGGATTGCAAGACTGACAGTGATACTCGTCATCAAAGTAGGAACCCTAATACTGAAAGTAATGTCACTTAGGTTGTAGATAAGGGTATACTAAGAACATATACTAACTAACACAGACTGAATAAGATTAACAGCAGTTTCAGTAGACGAAATGCATAGGGTTACAGCACTTAAAATGGGATGGAGCTGTGCAGGCCGATCTCAGGAGGGTCGATGAACCCAGCGAGGACGTTAGGCCCGGCGTTGGCGAGCAGGAACTACGATGCTCTATGGGTGTATCTTCTTGGGCCTGTGGTCGGCACATTGTTAGGGGCGTTCTCCTACAGCTTCATAAGGATGACTGAGAAGCAACCGCTGTCGACTACCACCCAGAAATTGTCCTCCTTCAAGCTTCGGCGTTTGCAGAGCCAGGACATGCCGAGTCCTTTAGCCGATGCTTCCGGGCGTGTTTAGCCGGCAAGACTGGAGCCTGCGGAAGGAGACCGATGAGGATAATGTAAGCATAAAAAT